GTCGCGAGGTACACGATACACGACAGCGACATCTCTGATTCAGATGGTCACATGCTATCCTGCTTCTCAGACGGGATCTCTGCGTGTTCGTTCTCTGTTGCGAGGTCTACGATGACGGCGACGGGCGATGGACGACTGTAACTGCGGCTGTGCGTAAGATGAACTGGCAGAGGTGATTAGCTCGCAATCATCATTATTCATTTGTTCGCTGGGAGTATTCTAATTTCTGACTCGGAACGAACAGATTCGATAATTAATGTTGTTTGTCGGGGTGCTCGCAGGGTCGTGCTCAGATACGAAGTGACGGCGTGGAGTGGGTTTTGACGAGGAATGAACAGATTCACATTCACAATGTGTTTGAGCAGATTCGCGGCAGGGAGTGCGGTGTGGCGGGACTTTGGGCCTCAGATACGAACTGATGGCGCCCGAGGACGTGTTGGGCTGGTGCCCAAGTATGTGCAGTGTTTTCTGGCCCAGAACGAACAGTAATGTTTGTCAGGAGTATTGCAGCGGGAAGAGATGCGGATCGTGCGGTGTGGCAGGAACTGGCGGCGCTCGAGGACGCGTTAGCTCTCAAGACAGTTGTTGGCTGGCCCCGTTGTGGTCACCGGAGACAGATGGTGTGTGGGTGATTGGCTTGCTGGTGTTCGTGCTGACAAGGGTGTTCAGGTGCATTATGCAAGGGTCTATCAAGGGCATTCTGACAAGGGTGTATCAGGTGCGTTCTGACAAGGGTGTATCAAGGGCGTTCTGACAAGGGTGTATCATGTGTGTACCGACAAAGGCGTATCAAGTGCAAAGTGGGCTGACAGGGGAGAATCAGGTGTATTCTGACAAGGGAGAATCAGGCGTTGATGTTCGTACTGACAAGGGTGTACCAGATGTGTTCTGACAAGGGTGTATCAGGTGTTGGTATCCGTACTGACATGGGTGCAGTATCAGGTGTATCAGGTGCGTTCTGGCGAGGGTGTATCAGGTGTGTTCTGACAAGGGTGTATCAGGCGTTGGTACCCCTGCTGACAAGGGTGTATCATTCGTTGGTGTTCGTGCCGACAACGGTGTATCAGGACGAACAGATTCGATATGTTTGGCGGCGAAACTCGTATTCAATGCGTTCACCAGCGGGATACGAAGCACCGCGAACTGGCCCCGGTCGTGTTGCGGGAAGTGCGGGTGATTGGCTCGCTGGTGTTCGTGCTAATGGTATATCGTGTGCGTGCTGACAAGGGTGTATCATGTTCGTGCTGACAAGGGTGTATCAAGCGTTGGTGTTCGTGCTGACAACAGTGTATCAGGTCGAACAGATTCGATGTGTTTGGCAGCAGATCCTGTATTCGATGTGTTCGTCAGCAGACCTTGTGTTCGATGCGGTCGGACTTGCTAACTTGCCTCTACACCCAGGGCGCCAGAGATGCGGCTGCCTTCGTGGTGGCAGAGATACAGATGCTGTCATTGGTGGCAGCGATATCGAAGGCCTAGGACGGCGACGTCGAAGGCCTGGGATTTTTTGATTTCGAAAACTAGACGGTGCGACTCGAAACGTGTCGGAGGAAGAGGCACCCGCCTGTTTGAATTCCTCGCGCAACGCTCCGGTATTTCTTGTTTGGAGCATTTTGAAGATGCAGGCTCGAAAGCTCTGTCTGAAAGCATGGTCGTTCGGATTTGGTGTCATCACAGTCGCTCTGGGCTTAGGTACTACAAGGTCCCTCTGGTCCGGTGTCGTCACAAACTCTGGTGCCCTCGCAAACGCACGGGGCTTCTGGTGCCATCACCTTCGCTCAGGTCCGGTGCCCCGACGAGTTACGAACTCTGCTGCTTCTAGTCCTGCAGCGAAATACAATAATAACAATCATGGCCGATCACACTGAATGATTTAGCGGCGCTTGTGTTTGTATTTTTGAAGGTGCAGAGTCTAAACCTTTGTCTGAAAACTTGGTCACTCGAATTTGGTGCTTTGGTACTCTCACAAACTCTGGTACTCTCACAAACTCTGGTGCCCCCACGAACTCTGGTGTCCTCATCAACACGCGGGACTTCTGGTATCATCACGAACTATGATGCCGCGGTGCTTCTAGCCCTGCAGCGAAACGAACTCATAACGAGCACGACCGATCACGGCCAATTACACTGGATGATCTGATGGCGCTTATGGGTGTTTGTATTTTTGAAGATGCAGAGTCTAAAAACATGGTCGCTCGGATTTGGTGCCATCACAAACTCAGGTGCCCTCGTGAGCTCGCCAAGGCTCTGCTATTTTGTGACGCACTTGTAAGATGCAGAATCTAAGGCGTTGTCCGCAAACACGGTCGCTCTGGTCTGGTATCCTCTCGAGATCTAGTGCTCTCGCAAATGCACGGTGCTTCTGGTCTTACAACGAAACACAATAATAACGAGCATGGCCGATCGCGCCGAATGATCTGACGGCGCCTGTGTGTGTCTGATTCTTTTAAAGGTGCTTATGGGTGTTTGATTTTTGGAAGGTACGGACTCTAAAGCATTGTCCGAAAACATGGCCGCTCCGGTTTGGTGCTATTACGGTCCCTTGGGTCTGGTACCATCACAGTCGCTGGGTCTGTTGTCCTCACAATCGCTCTGGTCTGCTGCCCTCATGGTCGCTCCTTCTGGTGCCCTCGCGAACTTTGGTGCCGCGGTGCTTCTTGTCCCGCAGCAAAATAGAATGATAATGAGCATGGCCGATCACACTGGATGATCTGACGGCGCTTGTGGGTGTCTAATTTCGCGCCACGAAGAGATCGGCGGAAAGGCAGATCGGACAAAGGATGCGAAGATGAGAAGACCGGACAAAGTATGAAGAGACGCGAAACAGGTGGCCGGATCCGATGGCTGGGCACCAAAAATCGGGGCGGACGTTCGCTGAATGATAGGCAGCCGACGGGATGACCGTGTGAATAGCCCTAGAGTCGCGCGCGGGTTAACGAGAGGCAGCATTGTCGCGGCGATTTTGTGGTAGCCGGAGACGAGGTGGGGAGACGAGTAACGGGGGTCTGGGATGTTCTTGATCGTCAGTGGGGCTTCTGATGTTACGAATATTCAGGATCGCTGTTCCCAGACGACAATGGTTGATTTCGAAGTGGGTGTCTGCTGGGCGACAAAGAGGATTTCATGCGTGCACTGGCGATTTTTTTTTTTACAGCGATGTAGCGGCATGCCAAGCTTTTGCTACTAGCCCTTGAAGCAGACCCTTCTCCCAGACGACAATGGGCAGGGAACAAAGAATAAACATGACGCAGATTTCTTTGTCTGTCGTCTAGTTTTGTGCCACCGACTCATAGAATTTAAACAGTGTCTCAGGTGAGCTCTCGCGTCTATCTCCTGCGCTCACTCACTCATCTGTATCTCACTGCGATGCCCGACGGACGGCTCGTGCCAAGACCTATCCCCTCACGCGAGGCGACGGCGTCGTTCTCTGTTCCGTCTGAGCAAGCCCAAATACTCAAGTACGCTATCGGGAACACCGACCCTGGGGAGTTTCACGCAAAGCTGCACGCCGCGGTGGCAAACCTGCACCACACGGACCAGGCGAAGCTGCTGGAGGTGCTGCAGAAGGCGGGGCTGGTGCTGCACAACGCGCGCACGGCGGTGCACGACGGCGAGCTGCGGCACTGCGTGCGGTGCCACCAGAATTACCTCGAGCGCGATAACGGGCTGTTTGCGTGCAGACTGACGCACGGGGCGCCGCGCGCGGTTGTGTCGAAGACGGGCGAGCACGTGGGGAACGAGTATGTCTGCTGCAAGAAGAGGTGGGCGGTGAATGTGCCGCTACCGATGTACTGCTTCAGCCGCCACTCTACGCGGCCAGAGTTTGCGTTTGACGACGGGATTGAAAGGAGCTGTGCGCAGGGCGGGTGTGGGCCCAGGGGGTAGGGGCGTGAGCCAAGCTCTGACTGAATGTCTGAAATGGAAGCGGCCAGGTATTTGTTGTGCGAATACAGCGATATGTTGTATTTTTTATTGTATCCGTGTACTGGCTAGTGCAGTCGAGTAAAGATGATGTGAGCGGAGGTGATCTGATCAGATCTGAAGGGGCGATCCGTGATCAGATTTCGGTGTCGATGAGATTTCGGTGCACTCGACTTCATCGGCTAGATCGCCACCGCCATGAACCAACAGAGACCCAAGCATCCACAAGAGCATCCACAAGAGCACCCAAAGAGAGAGCTGCGCAGGCTCGAGTCGCTGCTGAGCGGCCTCGGAGCAACCACAGACCGCACCAAGGATCCCAAGGGCGGGTGCTTTTGCAGAGGTCCGTCAATATTAATAATCATTTATCGATATCACTCGCGCCAACTAATGATACACCCAGCCCGCGTACACGACCTCTCCTCCTACGCTCCCATCTGCAAGTCCTGCGGGCTCGTCCTCTGCTCAGTCAACCTGCCCCACTTCGCCTGTCCTCACTGTACCGCGCCGCTGCTCTCCGCGCCCGCGCGCGAGGCCCTTATCCTCCGCCTGCAGGACCAGATCGGAGCGGCGCGCGCGAGGGAAGAGGCAGACCGCCTGCACGCGAAAGAGGAGGCGCGCAGAGCGGCTGGCGCGTTCCCGCCCCTCGCTGCATCTGCGTCCGACCCGCGCGCGTCGACCCAGACGCCCAAGGTTCTCTCGATCAACTCGAAGACGAAGAGGGTCACGGTGTCGTCCTACTCCCCCAGCCCTGTCCAGTCCCGCTCGTCCACCCCGAAAGTCGTGGAGGAGGAAGAGCCGGAGCGGGTGCCGCCTCCCCCGCCAGGAGTGGCCTATGCGAAGGGACGACCGGACCCGGGTCGTCCGTGGATGAACCTGCGCGAACCTGCGCCGCTGTACGTTCCTAGCAAACAGTCTCCAGGGCGAAAGAATCGGAGGGAGTAGACTGTAACGACGGTGGTATATTACTACGAAAATGTTGTACCGTAGTCAATGTCCCTCTAACATGTGGATTATGCGATCACTTCCTTTGGACAATCAATGAAACTGGTGCAAAACATTACTAAAGGACTATACCAGGGCTCAGCCGGGAATTGAACCCGGGACCACCCGCAGTCAATGGATAAAATCCAGGGCAAAGCCCGAAGCGGGTATCATACTACTAGACCACTAAGCCGTTATCCAAATAATCCCCTTAATCTATCACATATGAGCGTCTCCCTAGTCATACAGATCACAGATCAGAAACATACAGTACATACGGTACACTACAAATCAATCAACACCCCCTCCTCCTCCTCCTCCTCCTCCTCTTCTGCCGGCGGCCCCGCCAACTCATCGGTACGAGGCAGCAGAAACGGTGACATGCCATTTACGTTCGCGTCTGCGTGGGCCGGATCCGGTACGGCGATAGACGGCATAAGGGGCGTGGCGAGCTCCATACTGCGTTCGCCGTCTGTGCCCGATTCCTGTTCTTGTGTCTGTAAGAAGAACAAAAGGGAGAAGGGGGAGGTACGTGAGTCCCGGTGGGCTGTACGCGATAGAGATAAGTCCCCATCAAACTTACTATTGGGAGCAAGTCTTCTTCGTCGTGCGTCAGAGTCTGGGCGTCCTGCATTGATATTAATATCGTATTGCCGGGGTGCTGTGCACGGTAAGGAAGATAGATTGGCATCGGACTTACGCTTGCTGCAGGGACAGCGCGCAGGAGGAGAAGGTCTTGGACTTTGCGAATCTCGGCGAGGAGGTCGGCGTGGCTTGGCTGCGCCTCGCGGATCCTGCAAGTAAAAGTAAAATTGGCGCGGATGAGAAGGATGACGGAAAACGGCAAGCGGAAAATGGAGCCAAAACAGAGTTGACAGCTTAGCTCACCTCGGCTGGCTTCTCTCTCTGCGCGCAGGGCCGGGAGCTTGGTGTGGCGTCTCCGTTCGCGACGGACCAATGTCAATATCCGCGCGTTCTCCCCAGACCTACCAAGACGATTTCAGCTGCCGGCCTATGAAGCTACATACACGCAGAGGAATACCCACCAGCTGCGCGAGCTTGTCCCTCTCCTCCCGGAAAGCGTCCACCTGCCTGCCCAGCAACGCGATCTGTCGGTCCAGCGCGGCGATCGTAGGGTTGCCCGATGCCGGCACCAAATCTCGCTCAGGTCCCCCGCCGCCCAGCCGTGCGTCTAGCGGAGACGCACAATCAGAACATGCCACTTTCCCGAGTCTAGATAATTGGCACGTACCAATTAGTGAGACATGTCCTGGCGATCCCGGGATGATTGGAATGGACGGTCTTCCTTTCGAGCAAGGTACGTCGTCTCCTGGGGCTACGGTTGGACTCCGCGACAGTGGCTCTGATGGAACCTCGCCTAGCACCGACGAATGGCACGAACGCACGGTGTGATCGGGTTATTCGCGGCACGGGGTGAGCTGTTGCACGCACCATGATTGCGCCGAGGGACAGGCGCTCCTGTGGGCGCCATGCCGTCACCGTTCCGCGCTGGAAAGGAAGACGCAAGGGAGATCTTCTCTTCCGACGTCGACGTCGGACATGTCGGCGATACGTGGCTTGGAAGCTCGGGGCGTTGGGAGGCGATCAGTGGCGAAGTGACTGACACCAGGCGCGCACGCTCCAGCTGCACCGGTATCCGGGTTACATTTTCAGGATGCTTGGAGAGTAAGAGAGGACTTTGAAAAGGAATGAACGCACCTGAGCGGCTATCTGCTTGACCTCGAGCTCAAGCGCCCGGTTTTTGGCAGCCGTGGCTTCGAGTACTGAGATGATATCTTCGTCGGTCATGGAACATGCACCGCCAGAGGGAGTTTTATTGGACCGGTATTTCTTATCAGTGGATTGGATTTTCGCTCGGTGTTCTGTGTGATAGATACATGCCTCGAGCTCGGCATCACGTCGTGCAAGCTGAGCTTCGAGTGCTGTGATGCGGTATTCGGTGTCTCGGCGGGTTTGAGAGTGAGCTTTACGCTCCAGATCGCGTTCGACACGGAGAGCGGCAATCATAGCGGATGCATAGGCATAGACGTCTTCGTCAGCATGGAGATCTGTTCGGCTCATCAGTCGATGCATTTTCGACAGTTCTGTGATGAAACGTAGTAGGATAAATGCAGTTGAGACAGGACATGTGTCGCAAGGGGAAGGAAGAGAACCGACCGGCTGGTCTCGCCATGCATATCCGACTGTGTGGCCAAAGGCTGTAATCATTCGATCTCTCAACTACAAACAACACACAGCGGCAAAGATATACGTAAGTCATCGGACATAATGTGTCTCCCCGCCACCCACCTTCCCCCTCAGAACCCACCTTTCTCAACCAGCTCAACGACTGCCTCTCGCATGTCGTCCCTTTCTGCTTCCGCCTCCTTGACACGGGAGACGTACCTAGAGAGTTTGGCACGCAGAGCCGTGATTTCTTCGGTCATCTCGGATAGTTCGAGCCGGTGCTTTTCTTGGAGTTCGTCCAGCGTGTCGAGGGTCGCGAGGAAGCGGGATTGGATGTGTGAAGCTCGAGCGGCGAAGGCTTGGACTTCGAGTTCGAGCCTCTCAATCTGCGTTGGAAGAAGATTTGATCATTTACGTGACTACGTCTAGATAATGGCGATCACGTACTCTTGCGTCCTTTTCCGCTATTAACGCGCCAAGTTCGTCCACACGAGTCCTCTTGAAACCCATAGCCAAGTCGTCCAGAATTTGTTGAGTTAAGCCAAAATACAACACACAGATATGTTATTAGAATAATTTATGGGTCGTCAGTGTGTGATAGTGAGATAGACTGTGTTCCTAGAGTGTCATAGATACTTGGACAAGTTGTGGCATCGAGGTCTCAGTCGGACGTTGGTGATTATTTGGTCTTGTTTGATATTGTGGCAACGCTATGGACCGACAACATCATGATGTGCTCTTTCGTATCATTGACCTATTTGCTGCTATTTCTACATCGCTTCCTGTGTCTCCTATTACAGAGCAGCATTATTATTTTGTTGTGCACTTTCCTTGTTAGGCCGATATGTGATTACTGGCCATTGGCAAGTACTCGAACACCAACTTTACACAAAGCACTGTTTAAAGCTACGATGACATAAAACCATACTTTATGTTATTGCGCAGCAAGTGTTCTAGAATCACTGACCCTCATGGTGTCAATCTACCAAAGAGGGATTGGGAGGGAACGCAAGAGCGGTACGTGGTATGTCTCGTGCACTATCTACTTATTTGGCTGATAGAACACCTCAAGCTGACATTTTGTCTCTCTAAAAACGCAAGCTTGATTGGTCCCAAGTTTGTCATCCATGTCGAACGAAGATATAGAAATGAGAAAGATACTGTCGTATGCAGCATTTACAGCCTTCTTGTGCCTACATTTGCCTTTGTTCCGTCCATCTTCTGATCGCGTCGGACCTCGGTGCTAGCTTCACGGACTCCTTGCGCCACGGATATTTCTTAGCTGTGGCGTATTCTCTCGACTACTCTGCATACTCGCCCGACGTGCCAGCAGGGATGGTTCAATATTAGATATTAGCCCACGCGCCACTATAACTCGCGCTTCGACCTCGAGGTATTCCACCTGGAAGTGCTGCAATACCGCATTTTGCACTAGATAAGGTATTGTATTCATTCACTAGGGACATCCGCCCGAGATGCTGCCTCACATGGACACCATTCTTCGGAGCGTATGATCTGCGTGCCGCCTCTCATGATCGGCTCACATGCCGGCACTTGTCATTAATGCTGTATGGTAACGTGAGCAGGAAGCAACAGGATCAAAGTAGGTGGACGAAGATCCTTACTGATCGTTTACTGGAGCATTGATCCGGCGATGTCCTCGGAGACGTCAAGAACCATCCCAGAGTCATTGACCACAAACTGGAGGATTTGGAGGGATCCACCGCGGCGTTGAGGGAGGTTTGGCTCTTGAGCTTAGACTAAATGTAACGTGGGTAACCTCCGACTCGGAGGGGCCAGCTCTGGGCTTGCGGGAATGCTGATAATGCTTGTTTACATGATATATACAGAACACTGACCGTGCAATAGACAGAATCATCTTCGCCGTATCAATCGCACTGTTCGCCCGCTTGGCATTGTGGAATTCTGGCTGTGAAGTAAAGAAGGATGCTCTACTATATCCACTGGTCGATATTCATCCGAAACGGTGAGACAAGACACGGACATAAATGTTCTAATCATGGCCCGGGCAACGAGAAGTAGCATCCTCACTAACGGAGGTTGATTTCTCTGGACAGCAGCGCGACCACAGGTCACAGCACAAGAGGTGCTACCCATCCCGCGATAGAAAATTCCGCACGGGAGAGCTAGCAGCACCGTACTTGATTCTTGAGCGAGGGCAAGTGGCCCAACGTGACTGGTACCAACCTAGTCACGTGCCACCTAGGCCATCTCAGAAGCTAGGAGATGGCCTGCGACAAGTTCGTAAACGGCTCGTATAGTCTCCTTCGAGACCTAAAAGGATCCGGTGCCCTACGCGGGCCCTGTCCGAAGACCTAATACTCGCACCTCTCGAACTCAATTGATACACGTAACATCCATTGGGTATCAACACGACCTCTCTTCACAAACCAACAAACCTCCTGAATAGAATACAATGATAGTACAACGAACATTTAGTGTCACACCTCCCCCTCCGCGAGCCTCTCCTCCGTGCGCCGCGCACGCTCCGCAAGGTCCTCCATCGGCCACCCAAGGCTATTCGTGCCCCACCCGTCCACCTCCCCGTACGACAAATTATCCTCGAAGTCACGCACGAGCCCCGCGCCGCCCCACGCGCTGCTATCCGTCGTGTTGGAATCGGGGTTGGGGTTCGCACCGAACTTCATGGACGCGAGGTTTTGGTCTCTGGTGCGCACGGGCGGGTCCGCGGCGGCGTCGGCCATGGCGCGAAGGTCGAGGAGGAAGCGCGCAGTGAGGACGGAGGAGAGGAGGAGGGTATAGTTGTTGAGGAGGTTAGAGTAGACGCCCTGTGAGGTGGTGGGCGAGGGGTGAGGGGTGAGAAGGGTTAGTGGAGATGAGATGAGCGCACCTGGGGTAGCTGGGTCGGTGCGGCGGGTTGGTGTCATCTTGTCGCGATGCTAGGAGGGAGAGCGGAATAGACTCACGAAGTAGAGAATGACTGCGCCTAGCTGGATAGTTGTCATGACACTTGAGGGGATCAGC